TCTGCTAACATTCAGAATGGCTTGTCTATTTTCTAGATCTTTTATTTTCTTCTTTATCGTTACAAAATAAGCTGTTTACCTGGCAGTCAGAGGCATTTTATAAATAGCACACAGTACACAACACACACTAGCAGCGCTTTTCTGGACCATCCTCAATCACTGAGATCTTCCTTGTATTATGCACTTTAATATAAGCACTTTTAAATGACATATCTATTTGATAACGCGTGTATTTCGAAAAAACAGTTAAAACATCAATTAAGCAACAATAAAATGTATTTGCAGTGAACACATTAACTAGAAGACTTTTGGCCTCGAATGTGAAAAAAAAATCACCACAGTCCACTGCAGACTACAATGGCTACCTAATAATCTGGGCGTATTTGCATTTTATCAGGGATTTGCACCCTCACTGCCTTGCTGCTAGTGCATGCTTTAAGAACAAGACCAACTGTTAAAAGTCACAAAAGCAAGCAAAAAACACAAACTTTATTTTCTTCTTCACTCTGGTGTGGAGACGCCGACCTATACCCACAGACATTGCCAGAATGACAAATTTTTGTTTTCTTCGAACATATTTCTTTCTCATTTGGATGGAACCCAGCGACTGTGCACCCACCTCCGAAGGCTCTGTCACTGTTATCATTTTGAAGAGCTGAACTATTTACAATATAGGTTTTTCTTTTTTTTTTTCATAACAAAATAGGCTATGTGAATATTTTTAAAGCACACTATAGACTTGTACGTCTTGCCGCTGGCTGCGACACTTCTTCCTCTGTGCTCCCCTCCTTCTTTTCCCTGTGTGTGTGGGCGGAGTCTTCACCTGCACCTACTCACCTCTACGCAGCCTGCAATCAAGCTGAGCCCTTTTATCCTCAGCTCTCAGCAAGCCGACAGATGGGTTTGTCTTGTTAGAGGCTGATTTTTCAGTCAGTAACTTGAACTTTTTGTAGTTATTTACCTTTTTCTAAATATTCATCCTTCCTGTGTTTCCAGTTTGATTTAAGACTCCGCTTTCCACCTGCTAACTTGCTCCTGAGACTCCCCTGAAAACCTGGTTCATAAAACTCTTAATTTTCTGTCAGGCTATCTTTTGGGTCCTTCTTGTTGAGCCATACCATTGTAGCTCTTATTACGTACAATATAAGTCTGACTGTGTTTGTCACGTGCGATCTCCCTCCGCTCAGGCTGCTCTGGTTCTTGGCACGATTCTCAAACACAAACTGAGTTCAATGAGGGAACAGTGGCCTTGGACAGACTGCAGACTCTCTCCTATAGTTCTGTTCATAGCAGCCTGAACAATGTAAACATATCTGTAAAGGTCCCTATGTGCACTTTAGATTTAAACAAAATACATTTCAAACTATAAATACAGTATATATCTGCTCTGACAGTGCCGGCTTGAATAAAATCTGCACCAAAGTAATTAATGATGTGCTACAAATGTACAGCACAGATTTAACCGCTAACGTGCTCTTTACAACTGTCACACAGCCTGAAGGGCCGTTCAATAGTCCAGAGTAAAGTCAGGTCAGTCAGCAGCGTTTCCATTGGCAAACACTCACTCTTCCACACTGAGTCCAGCATGGGCGCTCACAATCACACAGATAATAAAATACACTCCCTTATCTACATATAGGAACAGTCAGTAACAATTTTGACAGTTTTTTTGCGCAGAGTCACAGGTGAAACGCACAAATGACTGTAATCCAATCAAATCATGTCAAGTAAATATAAATATTTAATGGTTTTCAAATTGGATTTCGATGTTCTCTGCTATATCTCTGTACTGCAGTCTGCTCTTTGATCACTGAAAAGGTGAATTAAGTGGTGAAACAACAGCAGCGCCTTCTCAAAACTTGTGATCATGCACGTTAAGGCCTGATTTTGGCACATGTTCCACCCTATATGGCAATGTATTCTGTACACTGTGCAACTTTTTTGATGGAGGGTCTGCCAGAGGTGGGACCAAGTCGTGGTTTTGCAAGTCTCAAGTGTCAAGTCTTTGACCTCAAGTCCGAGTCAAGCCTCAAGTAAATACAGGCAAGTCCAAGTTAAGTCTCGAGTCACTGGGCCATAAGTCCAAGTTGAGTCCAAGTCGTCTGCTTTGAGGTTCTTTAAACTAAAGTACCAAAAATAGCTTAGATTTTTGCAATTTATATGACTTTTAAGCTAAACTGTACTTAAAAAGCAATGGTATATTTATATATGAGTGTTTATGTAAGATTTGTAGAAATGCTTTTTCCTTTTTAAATGTCCAGACAAGAGCTTAGTGTGAACCATTACGGTCAGAATAGAAAGAATTAAGATTTAAAAATGCAGTCATGTAATCTGCACTGAAATGGAAGGATGAAGTTCTATGTAGTTCCCTCTGTTTTACTGTATTGTACTGCATATTACTGTAGAACATTTGAAGATACCACATCACAGTACTTCAGTTAAATCCAAAGTAACAAATAGAGAAGTGGGAGGGACATGTTCAAGCATCAAGTCTTCTCAAGTCACAGGGCTGAAGACCGACTCCAGTCCCAAGTCATTGAGCTTCAAGTTCAAGTCAAGTCCCAAGTCTTAGCCCATTTTATCAAGTCAAGTCTCAAGTCCTAAAAGTAGTGACTCAAGTCTGACTCGAGTCCAAGTCACGACTTGCCACCTGCTTTTCTACATGAAGATGTTATTGCTTTGCCTGGATTGTTCCATGGTATGACTTCAAACATACCCACCCAGCATTTATTAATTACGGGGGTTTCTATTGCTCAAAAATATGATAATTCTCTCATGCATCCCGAATTTTGGACTTCCGGTCATCATGCAATGCATACTGGGAAGGGTCCTCCAAAAAAGTGAGCATCAAACCACCATGTTTGATTTCCCAGTGGGATGCGTCTGTTGTCAAAGCCGATCTTTTCAAGTCTTTTGAACCATATTACTTTTGTTTCTGGTTCTGGTATTGTCATATTTTATATGAGATTTGGACATCGTAATTGGGTGGTTGCATGTATTGTGTTGCCTCTACACAGATCTGACCTGTAATATGACCTATAGTTGTCTCCCTTGAGTTTCAATGTCTGACAAATCAATATCTCAATGTATCTCAATATCTCAAGTAATATCTCATTGAAGACAAGCAGGTGGCAGACCCTCCACTAGAAAAGTTACTCTGTGCACCTTTAATAACATGTATGACTTTGTTTACAGTATTTAACAAATGACTAAACTCCCCAAGCACCGCAATGAAATGCCTGTTTACATGCCATTCTCACATAAAAGCTAATCATCCACATCTTTTAAGGCTCTGAAGCGTATGTGATATCATAATTCAATCTTCCTCCACTTCATTTACAGCACACACTTCACTGTTGCTATTTTTATATACATTATACACTATACATGCCTGTCAAACATACAGGCTTCTTCTTATTATCTGTACAATGTTGTGCACTTCACGAGAATGCTTCAGATTGCGTGCTTGCCATTCTTCCATTCTGGGTCTTGCCATTGCAGCTGCTAATGGCCCCAGGCTGGCGAGACACGATGTAGCTCTTCTTTTTAGATAGCAGGGAGGGTTTCCTGTTTCCCCCTTCGGCGCCCCCATCAGGATCATTGGGGTCGTACACCATGACCGTAGTGGTGTCCATGCGTGACAGTGTGTACATGCTGCTCTGGTGGGTGGGGCGGAGGCGGGTGGAGCGCAGTTCAAGCTCATCATAGCTGGAGACTTTGATGAAGGGACACCAGCGGAACGCACGCTTGAAACCAGCTCGGAATCTGTAACAGGAAATAGGAATAGGTAAGAGATTAGAGAGGTTATATAAGGAATATCCACAGTTTGTAATAATAATATGCTTTATTCAAAGGGCCTATATATTGTGCTATTTTCTGATCTATGTTATAACTGTTCATCACAGACATACCTGTAGTTGTGTTTTGTTTCATTCACTCATGTTTAACACACAAACCCTGCATATTTAAGATAAGTTTGTTTGTTGTTTAAGTACCTTGTGACGGTTATACAGGTAATACATACATCATCACTAAAACCATTTGGATAATTTCAGCCCTGGAATTTCCGATCTATACTAAATTTAAGGTAAAAGGAAGCTGTTGACTTGAAAATTACTACTACATGACATCACAAGGTGGAACAGAACATTTTGAGCTTTAGAGATGTAGACAGAGTAATAATGCAGGATTACTCAAACATATGTGAATGAAACAAAACACAACTCCACACACTGCTTTTATACCAGGCAAGGTGAGTGAAGTGCTTTGCCTAAAGACACAACAGCTAAACTTGGCCCAAGCATGAACCGATCTTTCAGTCTTCAGGTTGAGAAAACACTGCTCTAACCACAACATCATTATTCTACATTAAATTTATTATTAACTGCATTATTGACCTAAAAAAACTCAATAATAGAAACCATTTTATTGACTTTCTGTTCAAAACTGCAGAGCTGGTCACACATCTTCAGCATAGTGGCATTTTACCATAACAAGTAGCACTTTTTTTTTTTTTTTTTTTTTATAAGTAAACAGAAATTTGGTGAGTACTCAAGGCTCAAAGGTAGGACAATACTCAACCTTTCATCTATCAATCTAAACTTTTTAATTGTTTAAAAGTGCAGATTCAACTTATCCATGTTACATTTTTTTATTATGTGTTTTTATTGCTCAGAAAAGTAAAAATCTGTATTTTTAATATGACCAGAGCTGCCTTTAAACAGATCTGACCTGTAACTTGGCCTGGGGGCATCATTATCTTGTCTCCTTAGAGATAAATAAGTTCAATGCCATACTGTGGAACATTTCATACAGAGTAATAATAACTAAGAGTCAGTTTGGGACCCTTCATCAGAAAAGTTTCACAGTGCACTTTTAATTTTGATATGGTTCTGTTTACATTAATATAGGCTACATGAAATCTCTGAATACTGTGTTTTTGGGACATTATCTAGAATATGAGCGATCCAGTGATAAATATGGGAGTCCGGTTGTGTGCGTCACCTGCTGTTGAGGCAGCAGTAGATGATGGGGTTGTACATGGTGGAGCTCATGGCCAGCCACAGCACACTGAGGTAAACCTGCTGGATGAACTTCCTCCTGCCCAGATCTTTGTTCAGACCCATCACGATGAAGTAGACGTGGTAGGGCAGCCAGCAGAGGGCAAAGGTCACCACCACAATAATCATCATCTTCACCACCTGAGAGACAGACACAGTAGAGAGGATAATTATACATGTGCACCGCTACAGAGAAATGCAGATGGTTACAGTACATTTTCAGTTCATTAGTATTGCTGTTAAACAGAGCCATATATGGTCAATTACAGAGACCCAAACTGTGGACAGAGGCACTGTGATACCGCAGTCTTTTTGACATTTATTGCACCTCCTCCATTATACAAGAATATGCAAATAATAGAAACAGCTGTCATTTCTCTAACCACTGGGAGGTTAAGCTCGCTACAAGACATAAAGCAGAGCAGCTGGGCCCTTCTCAAATCCAAACACTGAAGTCCTGGTACCCCAGTGTTTCAGCGGAAGTCTTACTAGATTACCGTTTGTGGTAAATCAGGCAGGGCTGTTTAACAGGACAAACAGGTCTGTCTGCAGGTCCAATGTCAATATGTGCTTGAATATGATGAATCATAGATATCCCAGATGGGGACAGAGGCCAGACTTTCCTATTGATAAAAACATACACACTTATGAAATGTTCAAATATAAATGCACAAATGTTGAGTCTGATAATTCATATTACTGTCTAGACAAAAGAACTGTATTACAACAAATATCTGCATTACAACTGCATATGTATATTCATTTAAAAAGGTCCTATATTACACAAAACTGACTCTTGTTAGATTTAGCCATGTTAAAATGCTTTCACCACCCCAAAAACAGACCTGGAGCTGTGTTTTGTTTCATTCACATATGTTTATTATTTAATTTTCAAGTTAATAGTTACCTTTTACCTATAATTTCGTAGAGACTGACTATTCTAAGGTTGAAATTGTAATTTTATCTGAAAAACAGTATAATATGGGACCCAGCAACATTGTGCATCAGTTGTTTTGCACTTCACATAATTCTGCTTCAAATTCTTTTCATTAAAACAAATGACTAAATGCTCAACCAGCTATTCCACTAATCAGCAAATAATTACATTTTGGGTCCAATAAAGATCAATAGCTTTGCATTGCCTGAATCTGAAGTACCACTTACAGGCTTTTGTTTGAACCTGGCCACTGTGTTTACTATTCCTCTGTTCCTTCAAATTTAAGGTAATGGAGCTACATTATACGCAGACAAAAGACATATCCTTGAAAAAACATGAGCAAGGTGAGCTATTTTTAGTCCTGGTGGAAGAATCTTTGTGTGTATTATTTTTCTACTGGAAGGGCATCTAGTATAAACATCTGACAAATCAATACAGCTAATCTACGGCCAGTGTTGGGAAGAATACTTTGAAAAACAGAATAATACCTGCATTATTTTGTAATGTATTCTGATACATGGTCCAATCAGTTCAGAATATTTGAATACTTTTACACTGATTTTAATTAGACACAAAATAACTTTAGTAGCTTCATATTTGTTTCATCACTTTTAAAGCATTTTGTATCACTAATTGGAGGTGGAATAATTACACATGCACTCACCACAAGAGCAGAGTTTTCTATTTTTCTAACTAATTCTGTGTAGTTTGAAGCCTAAATGAAACTGATCAAATATCGTAATATATTCCTTTGATTTTAGAAAAGCAACTGTCTTCTGAAAATTCCCAAATAAAAGAGTAACTGTACCCGAATAGTTACTCAAAATTAGTATTCAGAATATGTGTTTTCGGTACATGTATTCAGTTACTTCCCAACACTGCAAAATAAATCACTGAAATAATCATGAACAAGATGTTACTAGTTTTATAGTGGAACAAGAACCACCCTCTTTGTCTACATTATTTTTCAAGTGGAAGGGCATCTCGAATAAAAACCTGACCAATGAATGAGGCTAATCCACAGCACAGGTCCATCAGAGTAGCAGCTGGTTACAATAATTAAAACACAACCTTGGAGAGAATGTAATAGTAGGTCTTTTCAGCAGCTAAAAAGAATAATGAACCATGTTTTAATTAGTATTTTCAGTCATGTTTTATTATGATTTGACAAATTGCCCTGTTCTAACTGAGTAGGCACAGCGAGATGCTCAACGTGGAGAAGAAATTAGCTGTTTTAGAATGATTTGTCATAATGATTAATATTTAAATGGCCTATATTATGCGCTTTTTTATGCTCATCTATATTATAATGTTTCCTTATTAAAAACGTACCTAGAGTTGTGTTTTGTTTCATTCACACGTTTAAATACGCAAATCCTGCATATTTAGACTGAGTTTTTCAAGTCATGAGGCAATACATGAAGTGCTCCACTGTGTTTTTAACTCTATACAATTTCACTAGAATCATTTGGATAATTTCAGCCCATAAACTGCTCTTCTCGACTGAACTAAACGTAAAAGGTAAAGCTGCTGTCTGGAAAACTACTGCTTCATGACATGACAAGATGGAGCAGAACATTTTGAGCTTAGGAGATGTAGAAAAACGAATAATTAAGGCAAGGCAAGGCAAGGCAAGTTTATTTGTATAGCACAATTCGTACACAAAGTAATTCAAAGTGCTTTACAGAATAAGAAATACATTAAAATCATAATAAAAACAAATCAAAACATAAATAATCATGAAGATTAAAATTAAAAAAGAGAGACATAAATTGGAGAGAAGAGTGCGGAATGAAAACCTTTCAGTTATATGCACAGTTAAACAGAAATGTTTTGAGTCTGGATTTAAACAGCGTCACAGAAGAGTCTGTCTCACATGTTCAGGAAGACTGTTCCAGGTTTTAGCTGCATGAACCTGAAACGCTGACTCCCCTTGTTTAGTTCTGACTCTGGGCACCAGCAGGAGGCCGGACCCTGAGCTCCTCAGAGTGCGAGATGGTTCATATGACACTAACATGTCAGAGATGTACTTTGGTGCTCGGCCATGGAGAGACTTGTACACAAGCAGAGCTGCTTTAAAGTCTATTCTCTGAGGCACAGGAAGCCAGTGCAGAGACCTGAGCACAGGACTTATGTGCTCGTACTTCCTAGTTCGAGTAAGGACCCGAGCTGCAGCATTCTGGATGTTCTGCAGCTGTCTCACAGCTCGTTTGGAGAGACCAGTGAGCAGACCATTACAGTAGTCTAACCTACTGGAGACAAACGCATGGATAAGTTTCTCCAAGTCTGCTTTAGACAGTAAACCTTTGATTTTTGCTATGTTTTTTAGATGGTAAAAGGCTGCAGATGTTATTGATTTTATGTGACTGTTAAAGTTCAAGTCTGAGTCCATTATTACCCCTAGATTTCTTGCCTGATTTGAAGGTTTTAGAGCGAGAGACTGGAGGTGACTGCTGACACTGTCCCTTTGTTTCTGTGGACCAAACACTATGACTTCAGTCTTGTCAGAGTTTAGCTGGAGAAAGTTGTTTTGCATCCACACACTGATCTGTTGGATGCAGTGACCAAGTGACTCCACTGGTCCATAGTCTCCTGCTGCCAGAGAGACGTAGATCTGAGTGTCATCTGCATAATTGTGGTACGACACGTTATTGCTGCTTATTAACTGGCCTAATGGCAGCATGTAGAGATTGAACAACAGGGGGCCCAGGATTGACCCCTGAGGCACCCCACAGGTCAGGGCCATGTCATCTGAGACACAGTTTCCAATTTCAACAAAATACTTCCTGTCTTCTAGATAGGACTTGAACCAGTTTAGTACAGTACCAGAGATGCCCACCCAGTCCTCTAGTCTCTGTAAGAGGATCCCATGATCGACAGTGTCAAAAGCCGCACTCAGATCTAACAGGATCAAGACTGAGACTTTGCCTGCATCAGTGTTCAGGCGGATGTCATTTGTCACCTTGATAAGAGCAGTCTCAGTGCTGTGGTGGGCTCTAAAACCTGACTGGAAAACATCAAAGGAGTTGTTCATTTGGAGAAAGTTCGTAAGCTGTTGGTAAACAGCTTTTTCAAGGACTTTGCCAAAAAACGGCAGATTTGAGATGGGTCTGAAATTGTTCAGTACTGTGGCATCAAGACTGCTCTTCTTTAGGAGAGGCTTAATGACCGCAGTTTTCAACGCATTTGGGAATGTTCCAGATTGAAGTGACATGTTAACTATGTGAGTGAGTGGTGAAAGTAAACTGTTGAGGACGGACTTTAGAAATCTAGTGGTAACATGTCCAGGCAGCAAGTAGATGAACTCAGACTGGTAACGATCTCTAAAACAGTTTTGTCAGTTACAGGTGCAAAGTGATTCAGCTCTAAGTGTCTCTGTGGCTGCATGCTTGTTATTTGTGTTGTGGAATTGATGGCATTTTTGATGCCCTGAACTTTGTCATTAAAGAAAACTGCAAACTCATTACATTTAGATGTGGAAATTAGTTCTAGTGGGCAGTGGAGCTGGAGGGTTTGTTAATCTGTTCACTGTTGCAAACAGGACACGAGAGTTGTTACTGCAATTACCAATAATGTCCGAAAAATACTTCTCTCTTGTTTTACTCAAAGTGTAGTTGTACATATGCATTGTTCCTCTGTAAATCTCATAATGAACCTGGAGGTTTGACTTGCGCCATTTCCGCTCAGCCTTCCGGCACTCCCTTTTCTGTGCTCTGACTGAGTCATCATTCCTCCACGGAGCTTTTTTGCCTATCTTTAACCACTTTAACCTTTATCGGAGCGATGGCATCCAGAACATTCAAAACACTCAAAGTCACAGAGTTCAACACATCATCAACATTAGAACATGAGGCAATTTCAAAATGTATCATTTCCATGAACAGTGCACCTGTGTTATCATTTATGTGTCTCCTTCGAACAACTGTAGGAGCAGCCGGTGGTTTGGGAATAACAGACAGGTCAAAGAAGACACAGAAATGATCAGACAGGGCAACATCAACCACACTGACATTTGAAATATTTACACCCTTTGTAATGAGCAGGTCCAGAGTGTGCCCTCTGTTGTGAGTGGGCTCACTGACATGCTGAGTCAGACCAAAAGTTTCAAGGACAACACTAAGCTCTTTGGCATTTTTGTCACACACATTATCCACATGTACATTAAAATCACCTGTAATGACTAAACCATCAAAGTCTGTGCAAA